TCATTGGTCTTTTTGCTCTGTGGCATTCAGTGAATAATTTGAATTGCATCTCCCAAATGTTTTCTTTATTTGAGTATTTGAGTATTTATTAATACTTATAGGCCGCCCTTTTCCCGGGGGGGGCCTAGGGGGGCTTACAAAAAAGGGGGGGGGGGGGGTATACAGACAATAGACACAAACAATACATAGAAGTAAAATAGTAAGCAACATTCATTCATCATTCGGGTGGGGACAGTTATCTTTGTCCCCAGGCCTTATGCCATGTAATTCCTGCATTAACGAACAGTACATTGACCATCAGAAAGAATAGTAGCCTTTGCTTGTCATTGGCCTGTTGTTACTTTGTTTTGTGATGTTTTAGTTAATTTTTGATAGTTTGATGAACTATGTGAAAAAGGAATGTGTAGTAGGTAGGAAGCTGCCCTTAAAGACAAGGTTGGCATTTCCTAAAGCAGCTTGCATTTCTTCCTCTCTCCTTATGGTATATTTAGTTGCTTCATGCATTAGACAATTTCTATGACTCACTGATTGACCTTAGGCCTCACCAACCTCACAAAACATTATGCAAGTAACAGTGGGTACTAAAACTGTGTGGGCTATTTTGTACAGCTTGGAGGAAAGCAGAATGCAATTCTAATAAGGGAAGAAATCAATACATAGCCCGTCATCTCAAAATATACCAAGTGCCAACACTAGTAATATCATTATTAAATATTTATAAAGGCTGTATAGCAAATCTACAAATGCTGTCTTCAACATACAATCTTATTCCAGAATGTTCTACTTTAAAATACAGCAATAAAAATATTTATTTGTGTATTAAATTTCTACATTATCCATCTCGCCTCAAGTGACTGCCAAATTAGCTGGTTTAAAAGCAAAATTAAGGTGAACATAGGATTATGTTAATCAGTGATGGGATTCAAATTTTTTAATACTGGTTCTTTGGGTGAAGCTTGGTGGGCGTGGCATGGCTTGGTGGGCATGGCAGGGGAAAAATTCTGTAAAATCTCCATTTCCTCCCCACTCGAGGGGAAGGTTACTACAAAATCCTCATTTCCTCCCGATCAGCTGGGACTCGGGAGGCAGAGAATAGATGGAGGCGGGGCCAGAGGTGATATTTACCAGTTTGCCGAACTACTCAAAATTTCCTCTACTGGTTCTCCAGAACTGATCAGAACTTGCTGAATACCATCTCTGATGTTCACCCAAGTCAAGAAATTGGAAATTAAAACAGATGCCTCTATTATAGATATATCTCATTAGATTAATAATGCCATGCAAAATTTTGACTTAAGGCAATTTGGTAACATTTTTTCAGCCAAAGATAAATTTATATTTTGAGAGTAAGTGATGAATACATACACAAAATGGCAGGGATATCTCTCAATTTTCAGTATATTTGCCATTGGCGAACAGTCAGAAAACACATGAGAAGTCAAATTAGTTCAGAAAGAATCCCACTTGCATAAAACCTTTGTAGAGAGGATTGTATAAGATCTGCATTCGGTGAATGATTATGGAGTATCAAGGCAGCAACCTCAGTTTCTAAAATCTCTGGCTATGAAATTTGACTGAATTTGAGGTAGCCTTAATTCTGGATTTTTTCTACTGAATTGCCTTTATTTTTGTCAAGGAATTTATCAGTATTGATTTATAGTTCCAAGCTTCTTCCCTGCTTTCTGGTTAATCAGCTTGTGTGATAAATAGAATTTGTTAATGATGCATAGTTCATATTTTAATGTTTCCAACAATAAACATAATTAATCATGTTTCTTAATGAGAAGAAATTAATATAGTAATTGGTTGGCTATATGCCATCAAGTTGATATTGGCTGTTAGCAACCACATAGATTTTTTACTTCTTCTGAATGTTGTGTTTATATACATTAACCAAATGCATAGCAATTAAAATGTAAATGCAACATAAACCGCTTTGCAATATGTACTTAATCCATACCTTTTCCCCCTGCAGGTTCCAGTTGCACATTGTTTAGGACCCATAGGACATTACAAGAGAAAATTCTGTTCTGTGTGCAGAAAACAGTTGGAAAGTCCAGCATTTCGCTGTGAAGGTAAACTCCAAAGAGATTGGATTATGCTACTAGTCAGCATAGCTTAATTTCACTGTTAATTCCTTTTACCCTGATTTTGATCTATGTTTTTCTATAAAAAGAAAATGTATGAGTGTTCTTTTAATCTTTAAAGAAAGTCCAAAGACTTGCTGGAAAAAAATTCAAAGGAAAACCTATATTCCCCCTTGCATTGGAATTAGGTCTGCCAATGAAACATTCCCATGTGTTTCATGGCATTCACCACTGAACGGGGAATTTATGCTTGTTATGTATAAGAATTAGATTTAGAATACTTTATTTGGCCAAGTATGATTAGACAGACAAGGAATTTGTCTCTGATACAGAAGTTTTCCTGTGCACCACTTGGAGAGTCCAAGCGACAGGTTAAATCAATCTGGTTGCCCTGGGACTGAGGAATCTTTTTCCTTGGCCACGCCTCCTTGTGCTCCTTGGCGCCAGATTTTTCCTCAGTCTGCCCATTCAGGACTTATATTTGTGAGCTCCAGCGTAATTTATCTAGGCTTGGATTCTCCTTCTAGTATTTCCCTTTTCTTTCCCTTAATTTGTTTTGTCTATAATTAACAGTTCAGTTGTTTCCCCTTTTTGCTTCACGTCGTTTGAATTCTCCTAGAGACTTGAAGGTAGGTGTGGTGGTGGTGGGTGCTCTGCTTGCTGCGCCACCTTTGGACGGCAGTGGGGAGCTGCTGCTTTTGCTTTAAAGCGCAGCAGGAGTGGCGAGGTTTCCGGTGGCTGCCGCCGTTTCTCTTTTTAGTTGGAAATTTTTCCCCCCGATTTTCTCACCTTCAGAGGGCATAGCCTGCCATGGAGGGGTGCACAGCCGCTTCAATTCACGTGGCCGCTATCTTTACCTCCACCTTCTCCCTCACACCGGAGCGGCAGCCAATTGGGAGGGCCTAAATTCGTGCCTTTTCTCTCATTGGCGTTCCTGCTCAGCCACGTTTCTGTAGATAGCCGCAGGGTGGTTAGCTGGCCTTGATCGGGTCTCCGGCTTGGTCATTTCCACCCGCAGAATCTCCCCAAGCAGCACTGGCATCTTGGCCACCTGGTGGTCATACACCAGCACAGGGAGGATTTTTATGTTAATTTTTTTACTTTTATCCACTGATCCTCCCTTGATCTATCTGCCTGGTCTTGCAGCCTCGGCTCCTTTTCCACCTTCTCACCTCCCGTCGAGTGGCTGGATTCATTGGACTCATTGCAGAGCCCCAGTTTTACTCCTCTGGACTTTTTTCTACAAACTGTTCCTGCTTCCACAATATCTGTGTGTCTTCTGATCCAGCACCAGCCACCAGATCTCTACCTGTATTGGCCTATTGTCTGAAGTCTGTGCATTAGGCCATGGAGCATCCTGGTCCATCTGACTCCCCTGATGGTAGACCAGGTCTCTCTCACACCCAAGCAAGAGAACTAGTGCAGGCAGGGGAAAGGGGGTAATGAAGGGCAGGGTTGCCAGTCAGGATAGCCATCCCTATAAGGCACCTTCCATGGCGGCAACTAGGGATGCAGAGAGGCGGCTGAGGGCCCTCAACAAACAATTCGAGAAGGCCCAATGCCAGGCTGTGAGGGAGTACCCTCAGCCTACCCCTCCTGTTGGGACAGTCATTCCACCGCTCCCAAGGGGGGATCACCTGTCCGTAATTGATGAGGAGGTGGACTCCCAGGACCTCTCCCCAGATGGGTCCCTGGCTGAACCAGGCTCTCCTGCTTTTTCATGTGTCTCTGAGTCAGGGCCCGCCCACGAGGACCCTAACCCCGGGGGCCTCGATGATCCCATCCTTGCTGGCATGTTCCTCCTCCTCCTTCCATTGGTTTGGACTCTGCCATAGCTCAGGAACCTGAGTTATCAGCCCACATGCAGGCGGTGGTCGCCCGTGCCATCTCCCAGGGCATTGCCCAGGGGATACAGAGGCATGACCAAGCACCTGTCGCTCCCAGCTCCTCTCAGCCCAGGCAGGAGACTCCCTCCACCACCAGGGGGGTCCGTCACCCATCTCTGGAATCCTCTGTGCTAAGCGAGGCTTCTGTTTTGGAGGATGCGGATCAAGAGCAGGAGCAGGAGCTCTCGGAGGATGAGGACCTCTCAGGCCTCTTTAAGACTAGCCTATTTAAGTCCATCTTGCACAAGGCTAAGAACACCACCCAAGTGGGTACCAAACCTAAGACCGTGCAGGGATCCTTGGATGCTGTTCCGGTTAACCCCAATACTAGCATGTTAATGTTCAGGCACCTCAGCAAGAGCTGGTGGCAGTCCCAGATTTCTTTATGGATGTCATTCAATGGCAGTGGGCCCAGCCTGGCTCCATGGCTGCACCCAGTGGC